TGACTGAAAGATAAGTTACTGTACGACATTGCTAGCCATGATCGACCTCGTGCTTGTATTTAGTTCAGAGATGGAATTAATGTTTTCATTATTCCAGAGCATACTAGACAGCAGCTATAATACCAGTTGCCACTCCTGTAATGAATACAGAGCTCATTGTTTGATCATCTTACCTACTTGGAGATTCCCAAGACCTGGACTTCTTATTACTGAAAGTACTGGTGGACTACAGTGAAAAAAAAATGAAAAGTAACTCATCGTTGAAAGTAAGGCTTAAGCCTTAAACCTTCCCATACATCACTTACCTTAGCAATGCAGTTATAACGAAATACCTTGGACAATTGGTCGTCGCACTTGAAGAACCTGCAGCCGCGTACCATTTCCGATTCAAAAACTGGTGTTGGTGCATCTAGAATTGATAAAAGTTGTTCCATTGCCATTTTGGCTAGCCTGGGCTCAATTGCCGGTAATGTCATCAATGAGCGTCACTTGTACCTCAACCCTTGTTATGCCGCTGTATGATCTTTTAGCGCTTGTTGACGGTTTACTGGTTGATGTTAATTTTGCGATTTTATTTCTTGAAGTTTGGGTCGACTTGAGACCGATTCCTCTGCATCATTTTTGCGGGTTTCGGTAAAGTGGCCTGGTATTCTTTGTACTCATGCACCACCTTTTGCTAACATATTTTGTCTGTACGATCAAACGCCTGTTTTGTACCTTGCCGAAAATCAATATTGCCTTGCGATATCTTTAACGTCTGATCTTTGCCGATCTGATTTTTGCAGCAGACACACTATGGCCGGCGGGTTTGTTTACCGATTTTCCGGTTGCGACGAGAATGCGCGTAGTGCGTCTGGTACTACTTACATCGGTTGGTATGTCGATTGTGACTCACTCGAATTCCTGGCTTGATAGTTTTGTGTTTGTTTTTCGAATATTTGGTTTATTTTTTGAAGATTTTATATGTGTTCCCACGAGTATAGTGGAGAGGAAGGTCATCTGAAGCATAGTTCCCAGTACTTTAGAAAAGCTAATCAAAACCGAAGGTCACCAGGTATCCGGAGTTCACTAAGAAACACTTACGCAGTCCCATTTATTCTTGGGCACGATCGTTCAAATACCCAGGATTGCTGGTTATATCGAGCTTAATTCTTTAGATCGTGTAGACGTGTGGACGATCTTAATTCATCAGAAACCCTAGACTCCAGAAACATAGTGGACTTTTACACTTACATTCACTCTAATCACATTCACGCCAACATATACCATTTGATCAAAAAAGAACGATAAGTTAAAAATACACGCAAAATTTTTATTTTTAATAATTTTCTTTATTATCGCCTTCAAATTACTCTCCTCATGCGGCAATATATACATGCCATGGCTTGATCCAATTTTCCAGACAAGTTTTATAGGCCGCCGAAGATATGGCCTTTAATTCACGCAGAGAATTCTTTTTTATAGCCTCTATGGTCTCAAAACGCGTTCCTCGCAATGGCAATTTGAGTCAGGGGAAGGAGAGTATGGTGCTTGGTTGATGATATTGGTGGAGTTTTTGGCCAAAAACTGCGACAGAACCAACGCTGTGTGAGCCGACGCGTTATCGTGGTGTAAAATCCATGAGTTTTCCTTTCATAAATCTGGCTTCTTTTTGCGAATGGCCTCACACAAACGACGCATGACGGCCAAATAATACTCCTTATTGACCGTTTGACCATTTGACCGTCCGGAAGGAATTCATAGTGCACCACACTACGAATATCGAAGAAAACAGTCAGCATAACCTTGATTTTGGACCGACTTTGGAGTTCTCTTTTCGATTTCGGCTCATTTTCGAACCATCATTCGGTCGATTGTTGTTTGGTGGGCACGTCAAATTCATAGACTTATGCCTCATCACCAGTTATGAAGCGTTTGATGAATGTGAGGTTTTGCGTTGGACGCTTGTTTTGAATGAAATTCAGCTAAAAATCGCCACACGAAAATTTTTCTACTTCTTTGTATAGACGCCAAACAAAACTAATCGTACGATATGCGTTAAACTTTGACAGAATGTGTATAATAGTGTTGCCACTTTTTAATAGAGAACTTTTTCGCAAAAAAGAAGGAATAAGTTCTTTTTTGATCACAAGGTATACAAAAATAGATACATAATTATTAGAAGTTCTTTGTTATACTTACAAGTCAGACCAGCGTCGGGTACCGTCATCCCGTCCACTGCCTACACAGTGAACAGGGAACCCATTGTTAACAAGTTTGCCAGTAACAACACCATCAAGTTGGTGATGCACATTTCTATTAGTAAAAAACCTATACTTCGTTTTGCTATATACACTGCAAATCCAATTTTTATAGATTTCTTTTCTATTTATATTTATTAAATGTAAGTACAAAAAAAAACACAGAGGGAGCGCGTTAAATATATACAGAAGCTTTCGCTCTCTTGTGCTCTGATATAAATTGTAACCTTGCCTTTAAATACAATGACAATGAATATTATAGAAAAAAAATTCATAATAATTATAAAATTAATAATCCTTATATGTTAAATTAGTGTTATAGTATTCAATCATTGTTTCAGCTTCACAACATACTTTTTCGCAAAAATTTTACATACCAACCACATGCATTTTATAGAAGCAATGTTCTCACTCTTGCGACACAACTATACAGAAATGAAGTAGTGCGTAGCAACATTATCGAGAGTACGAGTCACATCATTACACAATTTCTGATATGGACCTTAATAATCCTGTCGGAATTCACGTTGGGTTTAAAGCTGTACACAAATTAATTGATGATAAAAAATTTAACAGCATAATCAATATAGTTATTAAAACTTGCAAATTAGATGAAAAGTGGTGTTTTCTATTACCTGTCGTTATGCTAAATGATCTGTTCTATATTCCTCTGAAGAGCACAATTCAAGGGCTTCTGAGATGGTCACCACAGTTTTCTAGACTGTTTTCTAGCACATTTGTACTGGGGTGACACTCATTTATCAACGGCTCCCGGGTAAGACTGCAGCTGTCTCCATCCCTTTAAAACCGTAGCAATTCTAAGAGTACCATAAAGTTACCATAAAGTGTTGGTCAGCATTGGTTCTGATCACACGCCCGTAAGGGCCTGCGCCAACATTCATATCAACATTCATACCAAGAGAGATTTTTTTAGTAATCACACGTTTGGATACAAATAATAGTTTTAAGTGGAGATTCTCACAAAAAGAATATAACCACAAAACTTATTTTAAAAAAGACTACGTTGCATCCAGGGTATCGTTCAATTTAGTCAAGCAAATTCCCACCAGTAAACGTCCAACACCCTCCAGTGCCTATGGCGTGAAAAGTAGAAAATGCTCAAGCCGTGCGGAAACTAGTACAATAATAATTAAATGTATTTAACATTTAAGCGCGAAAGTGATAACAGTGATGGCACCAAGCCTTTAGGTCACTGAAGGATGGAATGGAGAGTTGTATTTAAAAATGGAATTTAAAAAAAAAATTTTCATCAATATCTATTTAGTTTAAATGTAATGATACAAAAGGTTTTTATTTAAAAAATAATTGCAATCGCTCTCGGTTACCGAGTAACGTATTTAAAGTGCAAAGCAGCAACAACAAAATACATGTCGAGTACTCGTAAAGCATTGCAAAGTTATTACGTTAGTTAAGCATTTGCTTTGAGCAACAGTTGCGTTTTACTACATTTTCAATGTTGCCAATATTTTCAATGTTTCTTATACATAAGAGAAAAGTTAACTCTGAAAATGTATTTATACTAACCATTTTGTATGGGCAGCATTTAACGTTTGTTTTTGATTGATATTAAATATTCGTATATTTATTTTAAAAACTAAAATTGAACTCAGAACGTATTTTCATGCAAGTTTTGATTATTATTTTGATAATTGATAAAGTATTTTTAGTTGTTCAAATATGAATATATATTTTACTTTCTTTGTAAGTTGTTTTCTAATTTATTTGATATTCATTAAAAAATATTTTTGCTTTTTTCACTTAATTTCAGCACAATATTGATTTTATATCAGAATTTCTTTTGTTTTAACAATAATATAAAAATTCATTAAAGCACAGCTGATTTTAACAGCAGCCGTTAACAAATCGACACAAACGATTGTGCTCACGCGTGAAAACGTGTGAAGCCGCCTCGACCGGATGTAGTGATCATTTAACCGTCTGAGAAACTTTGCTTTGCGGACATACTCCGTACAGTAAAAGGAGCTCCAGAGCTTAAAACAGTCAGTAATGATGTTCACTCCATCAGGAAAACGCAAAGAGGGCAACTACCTGCTTGAATTCAAAAGATCAGCAAAACAATAACAAGTATCCACCAAGTTTAACTCGAACGATTTCTTTCGAAAAGTTCTCACTTGCTTTTTCTCACTTCTTTCGAGTTTGCTGTTTATATAACATGAAAAATTCACCACACGAGAGCGTTGTGGTGTGATGAGAGAAACTGATGAAAATGGAACGTTTTTTGAATAAATGGAACGAAAATAAAACAATTTTAAAAGGTTGCTTAGTGCTTGCAAATAGCACTTGTACCAAAAATTTAAATTTATTCATTTTAACTTACTTTTTTCTATTCAAAATTCAGAACTTCTCGCAAGCAATTTGACAGGTGAAAAAAACTCGAACGAAAAAAAGTGAGAAAACAATTCACCATAGTTACATAAACACTTCTAGTGAGTAATTGTCAAAAGTGAGAAAATCGTTCGAGAAAACGAAGTGAGAAAGTTACATAAACGAGCCACTGGACGAAATAATTCTCCATAAAGTTTCCTTCCTCACAAAGTGTTCTATGGTCTGCACTATTGCCTGTCACGAAACAAATTCAAAGCAATTGATCCGCTTCACATGCAAACGACTAAGTTTGAAAACCGTGTGTAGCACAAAATGTGTATCAACGCATCAAACGGGATGTAGACTTTAGAATAACGGTTTGTGTTTTGAAAACTAAATTGAACGGTATAAAGTATTGAGTTTTATAGGCCGTGTTTCTACCGAATGTATTTCAAATATTCTAGAATGATACAATTTTATAGCAATGTGATTAAAAGTTTTATTTTTAATGCTGATTGCGAGTATAATTTCTTATTTAGTTGATATAATTTTCTAGTTTGCTATTTTGGAAAATTGAAAACACATGCGGACACTGCACTCTGCACACTGCACACTTGTTGTTTTTGGCACTTTACATGTGGGTAACTTTTATAAAAATCAAAAGCGGTAAATAATAATTATCAGCATTTCTGTGACATTAATTCATCTTTATTTATTTCAGTTGAACTGTGATCATGAAGTAAGTTTGACTAACTGAACATAATAATATGGTAATATGATTCGTCAGTCACATCAACGAAGCTGCAATGTTTCCGCACCGCACCATACAGCAGGACAGCAGAATTATGATAAGAAGCTTGATAAACAAAGCTTCGTGTTTATGAAGCTTGATTTTCGTGTGATGGGAAAATACTATAATTGACTGTATATAGTGAGTATTTTTTTTTTGTTTGGCAAAAAGGAACTTGTCAGATCGCTTCGTTGGAATATGTTAATTTTAACTTCATCAAATGACATAATAATGCCAATAAACGCGACCTTAACTCAACTCCAGCAAATGCATCAATTTCAACATCAACTTTATCCACCTTAATAATAATTGAATAATTACTAAGCTATTTAAATGAAACCACATCAATGACTGATGCAGCTACAAAATTAAATGGACATGTAGGGAGATGCTTTCCAACAACATAAACAGCATCAACAAAATTAAATGTATCAATTAAAAATTAGTTTTGGTAAGTCATAACTATTATGTGTTGTTAAGTGTCTTTAGTTTTAGCACAAGAATATGATTGTAAGAATGTATTGAGCCAAAAACTTAGAAATGAAAAATTTATATGTTACGGATTAAATTGAAGATGCGGTTAAATGGCCGAAAACTGAGAGCAAGTGCCGCAAATACAACATCCAATCTATGCCTAAATTAGCTGAAGTGTGTATGAAAATTTATAAATTTATAAATTTTTGAAAGTCGTGATTATTTGAAATTGTCATAAAAGGCCTCACTTGAAAGATGCCGAAATTCTGTAAATAAATTTACAGTATTTCACATAAATGCTTCCTGCTTTAGTGCGTTCTATTTTTAAATACGGTAAACATTCAATCATATTTTGTCATAATTTGAACAAAACTCATTAGGCTTTTGCGACAAGGTAGCGACATTTTTATGAACGTAATTATATCTGAATATTAAAGATGTTAGTTTTGTATTTGTTAGTATAAGTATTCAATAACATATTCCTTATAACTTTCGTTTAAAAATTAAAGGGAAAAAACGACTCATTTAATTATTTTTTTTTCGCTCGAGCGCCATAAGATCTTAGCGGCATTGTTTCCACACTATTACCGCATCATATAAATGCAAACAATTTTAATTTTTTCCTAATGTTTTAAATAAACTTATCTACGTTTTTTTATAAAATTAAATGTTTTTTCTTTAAAAACATATGCTAATTCAGAAGTTCAAGTTTTCTAAAATTTCTAATAAATAAAATATATTCCAAAATTACAAAATAAAACCAAAATCATATTTGGAGTTTAGTTGATATATTTTAATAAATAGTATATTTTGAAATTGGGTATAGCAATTTAAGTATACTACATTTTTCCTAATGTTTTTTAGAAAGCTGTTTCCTTTAAGAATCGTAACTTATTGCTATGCTTTTAGATGACTTTTAGGAGCTTCGTTAGAAATTGAGTGCCTATATTGATATGGGTTATGTCTAACCTATAAAATTATAAATAATTCGGGACCCGCAATTCTGCCCGGTTAAAAAAATTGACCCGTTTTGATGAACGAACCTTATGAGACATCAAAACTGGAAACTATAAATATTGCAACATTAAAAGTCAAGTTTGTTTCTGAAGCGGAACTTTTAACTTGTTCGGAACTTGTTTTTTTTCAGTAGTTGAACAAACAACCACTTCGATATATTATTTTTAAATTAAACTTAAGTTCATCTAGCTATAATTTTACTATTCTCCAATGTGCTTGTTTTGGGATTGCATGTTGTTGTTATTGTTCGCAAGAATATAAGCTTTTAGTTTCTTTGGGGAGTGCTGAACGGCACTTGGTCGTCGTACTAAACAAGTGATATCGGAACGTAGATCTGTTCGTTAATGTAGAAAACTTTGCTATGTTATATCAAAAAAGTAAATATTATTATTAACAAAAACTTATATTAACTTTATTATGTTTATTTTATAAATGAAGTTAAAATTTTTACATATATCTGTTTATATATATTTTCCCGTAATGGATTTTCTTTTAAATTTTCTTAAACATAGTTCAATTGCATGTAAATCTGCCTGAAAAACTGAGTTTTCTTGACTCATACTCACAAATATTTCCTCTCTTGGTTTAACCGCACATATTCCTTCTCCCATTTTTTTCCTTTATTTTAGAGCCATCCGTGTACCACAGATGGTAGTTTCCAATGAATGGAGATATGTTCAGTTCCCAGTCATTCCTGTCTGGTATTAGTACTTGAAACTTTTGGTGGAAGTTAAGTTTAGGTGAGCAAATGTTAGATATAGTGATCTTTAGTCCTTTATCTCTTTACATTTCCTTACCTAAAAGGGAGTTATTTAAGATTGACATTTAATACCACCTCTCTGCACCATCTAGCTACTATGTTTAGGACTTGTTGGAGTCGATATGGTATCGTGTCTTCATATTTATCTCTAATAAGTATGACTATATCTCCAGCGTAGCATTGTATCTCGAATTGTTTGTCATTCAGGCGATGCAGGACCTCGTCCACTGCATTTCACCACAAGAGTGGAGATAATACACCCCCTTGTGAGCAACCTTTTGTAGTATGTGCTTTTATTTCGGCTTTTATTTACCTGCTGAAAATTTACCGTCTACTCCAGTGGCTTTGAAAGGAGAGTATGAGTTGATCGCCCATTCAATTTTACTCTCAGTAAAGGTTTTACAAGTAATTTTCCAGTCATTGTCCCTGGGCCTTTTGGTCACCAGGGAGCTGAACTATGAATCCCGGAAAGTTTACTTCTGTTAGAAGTATAAATGACTCTTTGCAGCCATTGGTGTAAAGGCCATCTAGTCTAATAGGGTTAGTGTGGCTTTTCGAGATAACTCTGTGAATTTTAGTGCTACTGCTTTAGTTTTGAATCTCAGAACAGAAGCTTATCCATGATTTTTTTTTTGCCCTTCTAATTTCCTTATTGTAGGCGGTGAGGGCATTCCTATAAGTCTCTGGATTCAACTCTAAGCTAATTAGTTGTTTCACCATGGCGCACTTCTGTTGTCGATCTTAGTTGTGACCGGACAGGCGTCATGGTAGGCGTTTATAATAGTTGTGCCTAAGGCAGTATCAGCTATTTCTAAGTCATGAATGTAACTTATCGTATGTTTACTATTACTTAGGTGGGCCATAAGTTCATTTGTAAATCGATCCCAATATATGCCGCTTGGCACCCTATCAAATCTTATCTGACGATGATCAGGCATGGATGATTCTTTGAAACATTTCAGACTTTGATAAAATGTTTTATAAATGATGTGGCTGGGGTGATTATCGCCAGTTGACTTTTTATCGCCAGTCGTTTAGTTCAACTGGGCTCTTCCTTCACACGTACATAAAGGATGGTTTCCCCATTCTTGTCCTTTTCAGTTCTGATAATTCTCCACGATGATGTGCATATGCCACCATTTTGGTTTTTCAGACTGGTCAGCAAAATGTCCGGTGGTAGCAAGGCGGATGGAAAAATAAAGGTGATGCACATATATGTCTTGGGCATTTTTCTTCCCTGAAATATTTTAAGAGTGGCAACCAGGAATGGTTTGAACTTTGGGACACAATTCGTCAGCTAGTTCCTTGTTTCATAATTGCAACATGTTAATGAGATCCATCCATCTCTGTTAACACTAATTATGAAACCATAAACACTATCATGTTTAGGAAGTTTGTCGATTTCTTCCTTGAGCTTCAATTTTATGAGCTCAATTACTCATGGGTATTAGCCACTTTGTAGGCATTAGCAACGTCCCTGTAAAATGGAGTCGGGTTTGACTGGTGTTCGATCAAGCTAGTCGCCTGCTGGACGGCTTTTGGTTTCTTGGGCTGTGTGCATTGTATTTCTCCGGGAGATGTGGCGTTAGTTCTACACCTTTTACTGGGTCTGTCACTCTTCTTTCTGTCACCAGAGAAGGTTTGCAGAAAGAATATCGCTCTCTTTCTCCTTTCTCTTTCTCTAAACCGAGACTGTTCTGATCTTGGCCTTGATACGCCTTGTATGAGCCACAGTGAAGAATTCTGCCTTCTTTCTAGTCTCTTTGTTGCCGTCAACTGAATTCACCGTGCTCTAGATGTTAGCATTTGACGCACCGCCATCGCAGCTACCTGTGTCCATAGGAGTTTTACACCATTGGTCTCTGGGCAGATGGGTTCAGATTTTCCAGATTTTGAATCTTAAGTGAGATTTAAGTGAAATCTTAAGTGAAAATCTCTGTTCAAGATTTTCTTTAACTTTCGTTGGTGAACGGATAAGAGCTTTTTCCTCTGGTTCTGTAATTAAATTATTGTTAATGACATTTAAATTTTTTATACAAAAATATTGAAAAGGAGAAAAAACGGTTACTCCAAGCAGAGCACTATGCTTTGGGAAGACATTAATTAAAACAGGAAGGCACTTGGTATCCTGTGTGACTGGATGCACCCGTCCAGCCATGCATCCTCGGCGTAATAGTCTACCTCAGAAGAGCTTCCCATCAGTCTAAGATTGTCGCACTTATCTTAACGAGTTTGGCTTATAAGCTACAACTTAATGGGCGATCTTTACCGCCACTTACTCCTTGAGACGCTAGAATAACATATTGTTAACCCATTCAGACCTTGTCAGCTTGTAAGAAGGTAAATCTACTTACTACTGACTAACTACTACATATTGCCAACAACAGAAACATAAATGTACTTGCTACAACTAACTACTAGCAACACAAACTTAGACTACAAAATAACACATTCTATCTTAATTTACTGGTAGATTTTGGTTGCATTTCTTGCTCAAATCTCAATCAATATTCCAATTAGTAATATCAGTATTATCACTGTCTGGGATATTAATCAGAGTAGCTCAAATTGTATTTAAGCCCTTACACCACGATAAGGTGTAAGGGCTCCCTCACGATCTGCGTCTATCTGTCCCTATCTTCTGCTACTCTCTTCCAGTTCAGTACTCCAATCATTCTTGCATCACCATACACATTCTCATCTCATCTTGTTCTTGGCATACCTCTGTGCCTGGTTGTCATCGGCTTTGCGTTGAATATGCTGTTCGGTCTTCTCTCCGACCCCATTCTTATTACATGAGCAGCCCATTGTAACCTTTGCGACTTAATGTATCTCACTATATTTTCATTTCTAAGCAGTTCTTCATTTTCATTATTTGTTTTTAAAGCTTCTTCGTCCGCCTTCGTCATTGTCCATGTTTCTGAGCCATATGTAGCTACCGGTCTTATTATTGTCTTAAACATTCGCTTATTTTCCTTGGATAATAGTCTTGATTTGATTAAGTCTAAATATTTGTAAAACATCTATTTGCTGCTTGTGTTTTATTTCTTATTGCGATTCTGCAATCATTATTGTTGCTAATCAGCGCACCGAGGTAGGTAAAGTTGCTGACAACCTCAAAATTGTATTCACCAATTGATATGTGCTGCATACCCGTACTCTCGTTCCTTCTTGCTAGCTTGAGGTATTTGGTTTTACTT